GTTATGGCAACTTAAAGCACGAATGTAAAATAATTTGCAATAATAAAAATTCCCCAAATTGTAGACAAATATAAAAAGCATGAAAAAAATATAATAAAATCAAAAGGGATTCAAGGACATATTAAAGCATAACAAAAGAGAGTCAACAAATGCCTTAAAATAGGCTATGAATTATTTAAATTAAACATTTTTATATAATAATAAGTATGCTAAACTTTGCAATTTAAGTTAAAGCCGGTACAGTAGACTATTGTTTTGAATATATTTAAAAATTTGTTATTTTGTCTAAAAGTGTTTTCAGTTCTATATCAATTTTTATATATAATTATAAATTAATTAGTTTGTTTTAATCCTTGAATCCCTTTTGCCATTTCATAATTAAAAATGTTATTTAAATGTAGTTTGCTTATTATTTTAAACTCTTTATTTCTGTTATAATAATAATGCCAATATAATATTATTTTTTTCAATTGAAAAATTGCCTGCGAACAATTCTTTAATACAAAATTATTTTTTAATTAACATTAACGTTATTTTTATTTTGCTTGATATATTGCACATATTATTATTTGGTTTTAATTTTTTTGTATTTATTATTATTTTAATATTACAAATTGTATTTTTCCATTTTTGCATAATATTTTTATGATTGTCGTTACAATTTGATTGTTTGTTTGTCACCTCGTTTGGTTTAATTTTTTTTTAAATTTCTTTTCTTCTGTTCTTTTTATATTGCAAATGTTTATTAATTTTATTTTTTTATATGTCATGTGTAAAATTGTTTGCATAATAATTTCAGTTTATATGTTGTTATTAATTCATTATTATTACAATTATGTTGAAGAGCGAGATTTTAATTTATTTATGTGCCATGTTATTTGGTTTTAATCAAAATTTATTTGTAAGAATGTTTTTTCATTTGAATTTTTTAACATTATATATTATAAAGAATGTTTAGAGTTAAAGATAGAATGGATTTAACTGTTTTTTTTTAACAAAATTGATGAAATTTTAAGCAGGAAAATTTTAGCACTAGAATCTGAACTAGAACTGAACTAGAACTGAACTAGAACGGAACTAGAACTGAACTAGAACTGAACTAGAAGAACTAGAACTGAACTAGAACTGAACTAGAACTGAACTAGAACTGAACTAGAACTGAACTAGAACTTAACTAGAACTGAACTAACGAACTAGAACTGAACTAGAACTGAACTAGAACTGAACTAGAACTGAACTAGACTGAACTAGAACTGAACTAGAACTGAACTAGAACTGAACTAGAACTGAACTAGAACCTGAACTAGAACTGAACTAGAACTGAACTAGAACTGAACTAGAACTGAACTAGAACTGAACTAGAACTGAACTAGAACTGACTAGAACTGAACTAGAACTGAACTAGAACTGAACTAGAACTGAACTAGAACTGAACTAGAAACTGAAACTAGAACTGAACTGAACTGAACTAGAACTGAACTAGAACTGAACTAGAACTGAACTAGAACTGAACTAGAACTGAACTAGAACTGAACTAGAACTGAACAGAACTGAACTAGAACTGAACTAGAACTGAACTAGAACGAACTAGAACTGAACTAGAACTGAACTAGAACTGAACTAGAACTGAACTAGAACTGAACTAGAACTGAACTAGAACTGAACTAGAACTGAACTAGAACTGAACTAAACTGAACTAGAACTGAACTAGAACTGAACTAGAAACTGAACTAGAACTGAACTAAACTGAACTGAACTAGAACTGAACTAGAACTGAACTAGAACTGAACTAGAACTGAACTAGAACTGAACTAGAATGAACTAGAACTGAACTAGAACTGAACTAGAACTGAACTAGAACTGAACTAGAACTGAACTAGAAACTGAACTAGAACTGAACTAGAACTGAACTAGAACTGAACTAGAACTGAACTAGAAACTGAACTAGAACTGAACTAGACTGAACTAGAACTGACTAGAACTGAACTAGAACTGAACTAGAACTGAACTAGAACTTGAACTAGAACTGAACTAGAACTGAACTAGAACTGAAACTAGAACTGAACTAGAACTGAACTAGAACTGAACTAGAACTGAACTAATGAACTAGAACTGACTAAACTGAACTAGAACTGAACTAGAACTGAACTAGAACTGAAACTAACGAACTAGAACTGAACTAGAACTGAACTAGAACTGAACTAGAACTGAAACTAGAACTGAACTAGAACGGAACTAGAACTGAACTAGAACTGAAACTAGAACTGAACTAGAACTGAACTAGAACTGAACTAGAACTGAACTAACTGAACTGAACTAGACTGAACTAGAACTGAACTAGAACTGAACTAGAACTGAACTAGAACTGAACTAGAACTGAACTAGAACTGAACTAGAACTGAACTAGAACTGAACTAGAACTGAACTAGAACTGAACTAAACTAGAACTGAACTAAACTAGAACTGAACTAGAACTGAACTAGAACTGAACTAGAACTGAACTAGAACTGAACTAGAACTGAACTAGAACTGAACTAGAACTGAACTAGAACTAAACTGAACTAGAACTGAACTAGAACTGAACTAGAACTGAACTAGAACTGAACTAGAACTGAACTAGAACTGAACTAGAACTGAACTAGAACTGAACTAGAACTGAACTAGAACTGACTAGAACTGAACTAGAACTGAACTAGAACTGAACTAAACTGAACTAGAACTGAACTAGAACTGAACTAGAACTGAACTAGAACTGAACTAGAACTGAACTAGAACTGAACTAGAACTGAACTAGAACTGAACTAGAACTGAACTAGAACTGAACTAGAACTGAACTAGAACTGACTAGAACTGAACTAGAACTGAACTAGAACTGAACTAGAACTGAACTAGAACTGAACTAGAACTGAACTAAACTGACTAGAACTGAACTAGAACTGAACTAGAACTGAACTGAACTGAACTAGAACTGAACTGAACTGAACTAGAACTGAACTAGAACTGAACTAGAACTGAACTAGAACTGAACTAGAACTGAACTAGAACTGAACTAGAACTGAACTAGAACTGAACTAGAACTGAACTAAAACTGAACTAGAACTGAACTAGAATTGAACTAGAACTGAATTGGAACTGAACTAGAACTGAACTAGAATTGAACTAGAACTGAATTGGAACTGAACTAGAACTGAACTAGTACTGAACTAGAACTGAACTAGAACTGAACTAGAACTGAACTAGAACTGAACTAGAACTGAACTAGAACTGAACTAGAACTGAACTAGAACTGACTAGAACTGAACTAGAACTGAACTAGAACTGAAGTAGAACTGAACTAGAACTGAACTAGAACTGAACTAGAACTGAATTGGAACTGAACTAGAACTGAACTAGAACTGAACTAGAACTGAACTAGAACAGAACTAGAACAGAACTAGAACAGAACTAGAACAGAACTAGAACAGAACTAGAACAGAACTAGAACAGAACTAGAACTGAACTAGAACAGAACTAGAACAGAACTAGAACTAGAACAGAACTAGAACAGAACTAGAACAGAACTAAACAGAACTAGAACAGAACTAGAACAGAACTAGAACAGAACTAGAACAGAACTAGAACCAGAACTGAACTAGTTTTCCCTAAAGTTAAATTTTATCAATTTTGTTAATAAAGACAATTAATTTATTAAATTTTAAACTAGATTGCTAGATTATTGTTACTAAATTAAGTTACTAATTTAAGTATTTAGCTAATAAATGTTTGTTATTAAAAGCACCTTTTATTTAAGTTTTTCTATAAAAGTTTTAAATTTTTAAAACTAAATTTTTTAAAACATTTTTAAGTTATTTTTAAATGTTTATTTTTTTTTTTAAACCTTTAATGATTACGGATTTTTATTATTTAATTTTTAATTCTAACAAAAACTAATTTCTCCAAATGGTTTATGCAAAAACAATGTATTTAAAAAAGCACCAGTTTAAATGTCGCCATTTATTTTATAAATAGATTCCAACAAAATGAATGTATATGATTTAAAAAAAATTTATGTTGAAAACTTTATTTAAAAATTTTCTTAATAATTTTATGTAAAAAATCTTATTTAGCACCAAGTTTTTTTCTTTTCTTTTAAATTATTTTATAAAGCATGATTTTTAGGTTGGAAAAAAACTGCACAATTTTCTATTTAAAAAAACATTTTTTTTTTTGTTAATTTTTTAAGTTTAAATAAATAGTTAATAGTAATTAGAATATGAAAAGAACATAGAATATTAAAGCTAAAGGGAAACCCCTGTCCCTTTTGCTAAATTTAAAATTTTAAACAAAATGTTTATAAATATTTATAAAGAAACAAAAAATATGCACTCTAAATTTTATAGAAATTCTTTTTTAAAATTATTAGTAAAAATTGGTTTTAAATTTATATTTTGCATAAACCATTGGTTTTTTTCTGGAAAATTTTTTTTTTTTTTTTATTATTTTTAAAAATAATTTTTTTTATAATTTTTTAAATAATTTGTTAACTAATTTTTGTTATTAATATTTTATTGATTAATTTTTTTAATTTATTTTTTATTTCATTTCATATGATGATTTTGGATATAATTTTGAAAAATTTTGTTTTTGTGTTCCAACTCTAACAAAATTTTGATGTGATGCTGTTTAATTTAACTTAAATTACTAATTAAAAATAATCGAAAAAAAACAAAAATTTATTATCATCTACAAAACAACAAAATCAATCAATCAATCAATCACCCCAATCAAAAAAAAAAAATACGGCTTATATGGTCAACACCAACCAACCAACCACCCACCACCACTAAAACAAATTGACAATTTCATTTCTTACACTTTGTCATCCAAAAAAAATAAACAAAAAAAATTTACCATTAAAATAAAAATTTCTTACAAAATAAAAAAAAAACAAACTCATGGCATTTTGCCGACAAAAATCAAACTCCAACCAACGTTCCAATTTTAAATATATGTATATATAGTACCAGGTGCCCCACCACGCAATATCACAGCTGGTGCCAATAGTCCCACAACAATAGCGGTAAGCTGGTTACCACCACCTTCTGAACGTTCGAATGGTCGCATTATCTACTATAAAGTATTCTTTGTTGAAGTGGGTCGTTCTGATAGTGAGGCCACTATAACGACTCTTAATAAAACCGAAATTATATTGGATGAATTGAAACGTTGGACCGAATATAAGATATGGGTATTAGCTGGCACTTCGGTGGGTGATGGACCACGTTCCCATCCCCTTATAGTGCGTACGCATGAAGATGGTATGTATGTTTTTTAAGCAACAAAAAAAAATATTTTACGTTTTTTATTTAAAAATTTTTAATTTCTTTAATTTTTTTGTGTTAAACTAATTTTTTGTTTTTTTTTCTGTTTGCGTTATTAACAATTATTTAATTAACTACTATAATTAAAACTAATTTTTTTTGAATTTTGATTATTGTTCCGCTCCAAAAAAAGCCAACATGTAAGCAGAATTTAACAAAAAGAAAAAAAAAAACTAATTTTTGTATAAAACATTTTTTTACAAACATAATTTTTTTTCTTCCTACTATTTTTTTGCCAACAGCAGGATTGAATAATAATTATATTAAACAAAACTCTGACTATGAAATTTTTGAAGTCAGCTTTTGTATTTTTGACAAAAAATTATATAAATAAATTTTTTATATTATATTTTTTAACAATTTTTATATTTATTATAATTTTTTAAGTAAATTTATTTGGTTTTTTATTTTTTTTTTTATAAAAAATCTGAAAAAACAAGACATATAAAGATAAAAAGCATTAATAAAGAGTAATAAAATGCTTTAATCTAGATCTGGTATCGACAGAGAGAGAGAGAGCGCTTTCGATTCTTGTTTAGTTCTAGTTCAGTTTTAGTTCAGTTCTAGTTCTGTTCTAGTTCAGTTCTAGTTCAGTTCTAGTTCAGTTCTAGTTCTAGTTCTGTTCTAGTCCTGTTCTAGTTCTGTTCTAGTTCTGTTCTAGTTCTGTTCTAGTTCTGTTCTAGTTCTGTTCTAGTCTGTTCTAGTTCTGTTCTAGTTCTGTTCTAGTTCTGTTCTAGTTCTGTTCTAGTTCTGTTCTAGTTCTGTTCTAGTTCTGTTCTAGTTCTGTTCTAGTTCTGTTCTAGTTCTGTTCTAGTTCTGTTCTAGTTCTGTTCTAGTTCTGTTCTAGTTCTGTTCTAGTTCTGTTCTAGTTCTGTTCTAGTTCTGTTCTAGTTCTGTTCTAGTTCTGTTCTAGTTCTGTTCTAGTTCTGTTCTAGTTCTGTTCTAGTTCTGTTCTAGTTCTGTTCTAGTTCTGTTCTAGTTCAGTTCTAGTTCTGTCTAGTTCTAGTTCTAGTTCAGTTCTAGTTCAGTTCTAGTTCAGTTCTAGTTCTGTTCTAGTTCTGTTCTGTTCTAGTTCTAGTTCTAGTTCTAGTTCTAGTTCTAGTTCTAGTTCTAGTTCTGTTCTAGTTCTGTTCTAGTTCTGTTCTGTTCTGTTCTAGTTCTGTTCTAGTTCTGTTCTAGTTCTGTTCTAGTTCTGTTCTAGTTCTGTTCTAGTTCTGTTCTAGTTCTGTTCTAGTTCTGTTCTAGTTCTGTTCTAGTTCTGTTCTAGTTCTGTTCTAGTTCTGTTCTAGTTCTGTTCTAGTTCTGTTCTAGTTCTGTTCTAGTTCTGTTCTAGTTCTGTTCTAGTTCTGTTCTAGTTCTGTTCTAGTTCTGTTCTAGTTCTGTTCTAGTTCTGTTCTAGTTCTGTTCTAGTTCTGTTCTAGTTCTGTTCTAGTTCTGTTCTGTTCTAGTTCTGTTCTAGTTCTGTTCTAGTTCTGTTCTAGTTCTGTTCTAGTTCTGTTCTAGTTCTGTTCTAGTTCTGTTCTAGTTCTGTTCTAGTTCTGTTCTAGTTCTGTTCTAGTTCTGTTCTAGTTCTGTTCTAGTTCTGTTCTAGTTCTGTTCTAGTTCTGTTCTAGTTCTGTTCTAGTTCTGTTCTAGTTCTGTTCTAGTTCTGTTCTAGTTCTGTTCTAGTTCTGTTCTAGTTCAGTTCTAGTTCAGTTCTAGTTCAGTTCTAGTAAAGTTCTAGTTCAGTTCTAGTTCTGTTCTAGTTCTGTTCTGTTCTGTTCTAGTTCTGTTCTAGTTCTGTTCTAGTTCTGTTCTAGTTCTGTTCTAGTTTTGTTCTAGTTCTGTTCTGTTCTAGTTCTGTTCTACTTCTGTTCTAGTTCTGTTCTAGTTCTGTTCTAGTTCTGTTCTAGTTCTGTTCTAGTTCTGTTCTAGTTCTGTTCTAGTTCTGTTCTAGTTCCGTTCTAGTTCTGTTCTAGTGCTGTTCTAGTTCTGTTCTGTTGTAGTTCTAGTTCTGTTCTAGTTCAGTAGTTTCTAGAAATTTCAAGTTTAAAAGTTATTTTCAGATTTTTTAACTTTTATCAAATGTTAAGTTATTGTTTTAATTATTTCATATATTTTTAAATATTTTTTTATTATGATTTTCAAGAAACTTTTGAAAAAGTTGGCACTCGCACTCTGTATGAATTCTAATAATTTTAAAATTATAATTTCAAATCACCTGCAGTTGTTAACATAATTTTTTGAAGCACTCAAGTGATATTTTTTATTTATTAATTTATACTTTTCACCAAATTGAACTTATTTAGCAATCAAAAAAAAATCGTTAAAATAAAATTGGCACCTGATATTTGCATATTTTTTGGTCAACTATATAGTAATAAATAACCCTTTTAGGGCTTTTAAATTAATTTTTGCACTTTAATTTCTTTTACTGTTATAATTTCAAAAGCACAATTTTTCTCAACAAACCATTTGTATGCTTTAATATTTTTCTATTCAAAAAACTTTTTGTTCCATAAATTTGCACCAAATTTAAACACAAAATTTTTTTGTGCAACTTTTGTATAGCACCAAATTTTTTTTTATTTTTTAATATTTTTCTTAAAACTTTTTTAAATAAGTTAAGTTAAATGTATATTTTTTCTATAATATTTTTTTATATAAAAATATAATTGTTGAAATATTTATTAAAATGCACATTTATTAGATGTATGATGTAAAGATACATTTTACACATTTTAAGTATTTAAAGAAAGTTTTTTTACACACTACTTTTTGAATTTTTTTTTTTTTTTTGTTCAAAACTGAAACAAAATATTATTATTTTTTCTGAGCATGTTTTTCTTATATGAATATAAAACAAAAAGCATGATTTGTTTGAGATTATAAGAAAAATTTTAAGATTTTTATTTACATATAAATATTTAAAACTAAGTATTTTAAGTTTTTTTTTTTTATTTAAAATGCCAAGGATTTTATAGAATTATAAGTTGTAGAAGAAAAGCGTTAGGCATTTCACAGTTTCTGTAAAAAGCAGCAACTCAAAATTTAAAATCGGTTATAAAAAACAAAAAATAACACAATTTAAAAATAAAATTTAATAATGTTCAAACAAAACTAAATTTAAAACTAAAATCATTAAGGCGCCTTACATTTTCCAAATTAATGTGTTGGAAAAGATGAGGAGGTCTGCACGGATTTAAACAATTTTGCTATTTTTTTAAATAATCATGAGATGGTGAAAAGTTATAAAAAAATAATTTATTTATAGCTTCATATACGAGACCCAAAAATGTAAGAACGAGGGCATTAAAAAGTTCTTTTCAAAAAATTTCTAGAACTGAACGAGAACTGAACTAGAACTGAACTAGAACAGAACTAGAACTGAACTAGAAACTGAACTAGAACTGAACTAGAACTGAACTAGAACTGAACTAGAACTGAACTAGGTCTGAACTAGAACTGAACTAGAACTGAACTAGAACTGAACTAGAACTGAACTAGAACTGAACTAGAACTGAACTAGAACTGAACTAGAACTGAACTAGAACTGAACTAGAACTGAACTAGAACTGAACTAGAACTGAACTGGAACTGAACTAGAACTGAACTAGAACTGAACTAGAACTGAACTAGAACTGAACTAGAACTGAACTAGAACTGAACTAGAACTGAACTAGAACTGAACTAGAACTGAACTAGAACTGAACTAGAACTGAACTAGAACTGAGACTAGACTGAAACTAGAACTGAACTAGAAACTGAACTAGAACTGAACTAGAACTGAACTAGAACTGAACTAGAACTGAACTAGAAACTGAACTAGAACTGAACTAGAACTGAACTAGAACTGAACTAGAACTGAACTAGAACTGAACTAGAACTGAACTAGAACTGAACTAGAACTGAACTAGAACTGAACTAGAACTGAACTAGAACTGAACTAGAACTGAACTAGAACTGAACTAGAACTGAACTAGAACTGAACTAGAACTGAACTAGAACTGAACTAGAACTGAACTAGAACTGAACTAGAACTGAACTAGAACTGAACTAGAACTGAACTAGAACTGAACTAGAACTGAACTAGAACTGAACTAGAACTGAACTAGAACTGAACTAGAACTGAACTAGAACTGAACTAGAACTGAACTAGAACTGAACTAGAACTGAACTAGAACTGAACTAGAACTGAACTAGAACTGAACTAGAACTGAACTAGAACTGAACTAGAACTGAACTAGAACTGAACTAGAACTGAACTAGAACTGAACTAGAACTGAACTAGAACTGAACTAGAACTGAACTAGAACTGAACTAGAATGAACTACTGAACTAGAACTGAACTAGAACTGAACTAGAACTGAACTAGAACTGAACTAGAACTGAACTAGAACTGAACTAGAACTGAACTAGAACTGAACTAGAACTGAACTAGAACTGAACTAGAACTGAACTAGAACTGAACTAGAACTGAACTAGAACTGAACTAGAACTGAACTAGAACTGAACTAGAACTGAACTAGAACTGAACTGAGAACTGAACTAGAACTGAACTAGAACTGAACTAGAACTGAACTAGAACTGAACTAGAACTGAACTAGAACTGAACTAGAAACTGAACTAGAACTGAACTAGAACTGAACTAGAACTGAACTAGAACTGAACTAGAACTGAACTAGAACTGAACTAGAACTGAACTAGAACTGAACTAGAACTGAACTAGAACTGAACTAGAACTGAACTAGAACTGAACTAGAACTGAACTAGAACTGAACTAGAACTGAACTAGAACTGAACTAGAACTGAACTAGAACTGAACTAGAACTGAACTAGAACTGAACTAGAACTGAACTAGAACTGAACTAGAACTGAACTAGAACTGAACTAGAACTGAACTAGACTGAACTAGAACTGAACTAGAACTGAACTAGAACTGAACTAGAACTGAACTA